TTAAAATTTAAAAATTCCAAATTGATAACCCTTCAGGACTCTTTAAACAAGGCTAATGAAAAGCTAGAGAAGAAAATGGTGCCGTCACAAATTAGGCATTTGGTCAGAAAATGACTTCTGACACCACCACAAAGAAAGAGTTCCTCATTCCCCAGGTGCTAAGGAGGTGTAGCACTTTAAAAAAAACTAGAATGAATCACGCTCATTATTTTAAGAAGTGCAAGTGTTCAAATATAAAATATTTCACCAAATTAAGGAGGAAATTGGAAAATTACTCAGATTCTCAGCAATGATGTTCCTTCAAGGAATCTAATAGGGTCAACAGATCCTTTTGTTCAGTTCATTGTTGTTGTTAGGTGCTTAAAGGTATTGTCATTCTCTTAAGTATTGCCAGTTGAATTAAAAGTGAGTCCTAACTCTTACCCAAGATACTGTTAAAATTTTGTTTCATTTTATAAAAATAGAATGCTTTTTGAGAAAATTGGTGAACCTGTTACATACAGAGGAAATCAATTTTCTGCTACTTAACAGAATTCCTGTCATGACTGGCCTGTAAACACTAGAAATAATGCCATAAAATGAGAAACACATTTATAGAAAAATATACAAATTTATTACTTGTGATTTAACTATACTGTGTGTGTGTGTGTATAATTTTTTTTGAAGCTGTTACTCAGAAAAATAAGAGGCTTAGTTGTGATTTAAATTAATAACTTTAACTCCTAGGTTACAAGATACAAAACAAAGAGATTTAAGTTCATAATACAGAAGTGTCAGGGCTTTTAAATAATTTAGAGATTTTTAATATTTGTATTGTCCTTGTATTTAAAAAAAAATTCAAGGATTATTCCTTGTGAAATTACACTGGTTAGTTATTTTGGCTTTAAATAAGCTATATTTCCACTGTGTATAACTGTGTAAAAATAGAATTCACATAATATTCAAGTTTATGTAATACTTAGATTTATTTTCTTATGGAAAGCTCAACTAATTTGAGACCATATCAGGTCACTATGAGTTGGAATCAACTCAATCATATTGAGTTTGGTTTGAATTTGGTATATTTATTTACTGATTATATTGGTCTGACAAATGATTTTTAGTAAACGTAAAATTGTAAACCCATATTTAACTAAATTACACTACCATAGATCATGCCATTTTACATAGATTACTGGTAGCATAATGCCTAAGGCACTTGACTGCTAACCAGGAGGCTGGCTGTTCAAACCCAGCAGCCACTCCTCGGGAGGAAGGTTGGGCAATCTACTTCCATTGTGATACTTCCTCAGAAACCCAAAGAGGGGTCGCTATGAGTCAGTTCCGACTCCATGGCAGTGGGTTTGGTTTGTTTGGTTAGAGTGGCCCTCAGTTAACGGGTCAAAAACTATGTAAAATATTTTAAGGCTGTGTTACTACACGTGTCCTCTATGTCACCTGAGAACCTGAATGGCATATGTCATCTGTGTAGCGAGTGCTGCTGGCTCACTGGGACACTGCCTTTGCTTTCTTGGTTCTCTGCCTCCTTGCTCTCTCTGGGCCTGGAAGTCAGTAGAATCAGATTGCATTGGCTAAAGTAGTTTCTAATGTGGATGGATGAAACTGTGCTAGGTACAGTATTTGCAAAAATAAGGATTTGTATGCAGGATAGTGGATAGAATTTCTCTATTCATCAAGGGAACTGTTCTATTAATGTATAACATATGTATTGTCTTATTTAATATGCTAACAAGGAAATAATATATTACTATTATTTTCATATTACTAGTATTTTAAGATAAAGTTAAAAGCATTTAAATGGAATATATAAAATTGTGTATATTGCACATATAATTGTACTAAGGTTATTAAACTTAGTAGGTAAAAGGTCTATAAATGACTTAAATGAGAACGAATGATTCATAAAAGATTGAACTTTGTTCTGCATTTTTGTGCTTTTACCATAATCTTCAACATGGCAAAGCGTCTCACATAAAAAATAAACAACAGAAACCCCTCAGTGCTACTTGAATTTGATATTCTAAAGCAGGCCTGTAGACCTTGACTTTCAAAGCTAAAGATTAAGCTCAGATCCCAGTGTAATAAGCAATTTTACCTCACAACTCATGTTTCTCTTTGCTCAGCCCAGCCCTAAATCCAAATAATAAAGCTCTTAACATGGCTTTTACTGTTACGTAACGTTTGGGGTTTCATGTAGCAAGTGGGCATCCAAGATGATTTGCTCCCTTCCTTTAAAACAAGAGGAACCATTGAAATATTCAGGTTAATAGAGCCCTGTTGTTGATTGATTGATTTTATTAGTAGAACCTCTCCAAGCTGAGTCTACCAGTATCCCAGAGCCCCTCAGGGAGCCATGTGATAATGTGATAGAGAGGCCTTTAAAAACAGATGTGGCATCAGTTCCTCAAGTCTGGCTTCCTTGTCTCTGAAGAGCCTTCCTCTGGATTGTACGTGAAGGACACAGATGTGCTATCGGGGGCTTGCTCACGGCTAGGAACGCATCAGAAGCCCACTGGCTGCCCTAACATACTTCTCGACCTTTTATCCAAGACCCAGCATTTGTTTACATCCATGCCAGCTGTACCCGAACCAGCTGAAGCCACAGCAAACATCTTCTAGCATCCCCTCTCCCTCCATGGATCCTTGATGCGGTAAGAACCCCAATATTCCCATATAAGTGGCCAGCTACATTAATGCCTGTGGGAGTCTCCATCACCTGTTTCCATACACAGGCAGTGCCCAGGTTGGGAGCATGTGGCTTAGGGACAACTCCGGCTTGCCCTTTAACATTAAGTAAATTTGCCTTCAGTTTGGAACAATTGAACCAACTCCTACTTGTAACAAATTCTTCACCACAATCACCTTTGAAGTCATTCGGCTTTTAAATCACTGAAAATGCTTGGAGTCTTTTTTCTCCACTAAAGTAAGGCTAAAAAGAACCATTTGCACCTTTTTGGACTCACCTACAAATTTGACTTAATGATTTAAAGGCACAATTAGGAACTGATCTCATTCCCAATCCACGTCCTCCCTGTTACTGTTGAAACCTGTCCTACCTAATCCAGTTCCCGTTCTTCTCTTCTGATAAAGTCAGTCCTCACGATTGCCTGGAAGCTGATCATATTCTAACCACGGCCATCCTAGCTTGGTTGACATTCCCTTAGTCACCTCTGATAGGAGATTGTTTGCTCTGGTTCATATCTAAACATAATCAGTGCATCCTTTGTATTGTATATGTTTTAACTTCGAAATACTTCTATAGAAAGTGCTTTTTTTTTTGGCCAACATTCATTCGTTGAAACATTTTATCTGGTAACTTGGGCATAGCATGTTTCCTTGCCAAAGGTTTAAAAGTTTAAACCTTTACTAAGAGTAAGTGTATCTTGGGATTTGATCATAATTTCAGAATGTTATCAAAGTACAGGTGTTTTACAACTTTGTCAGGCACACTAATGAAAATAGAGAAATCAGCGACTTATTTGAGACCGTTACGTATCTGAAGGAAATCTCACTTAATAAAATTAAAGTTCATAATAAAGACAGTACTTTAAAAGCTGAATGCCTTGGCTAACACCTATACAGAAAGTAGCCCTTGGTCATTTAATCATTATAAAGACAGTTGTTCCATTGATTGCACAAATCCAGGGGACTTGGTCACGATCAAAAAGGAATGATGTTGGTTATATCAATGTGAAGGGATCTTAGTGGTGCAGTGGTTAAGGACTGGGCTGCTAACTCACAGGTCAGCAGTTTGAATCCACCAGTTGCTCCATGGGAGAAAGATTGGCAGTCTGCCTCTGTAAAGATTTACAGCTGTGGAAATCCTACGGGGGCAGTTCTACTCTGACCTACAGGGCTGCTGTGAGTCGAATCAACTCCACGGCAATGGGCAATATCATCGTTGTCTCATACTGATGGTGTCATGCCAGACCATCTTTAGATAAGTTGGTTCAGGCAATACAGAACTCTTGGTGGGAAAATTACAAGAGGCTGAGCAAGTGATCAGTCTTGCCTTATTGGCAACGACAATGGCTCAAGGACAAGTGCAAAGGTGGAGCAAGGGCACTTAAAGGTGCCTTTAGTGACTTGCAGGTGGATTTCATTCATTTGACCAAATACTAAATCTTTAAATATATTTTAGGATCGCTTATATATTTTCTGTTAGGAAGAAAGTGTCCCCAACTTTTTTTTGTGGTTGTTGCTGTTTGTCATTGACTCAGCTTTAATTTGTAGCAAATTTGTGTATAAAAGAATGAAACATTGCCTGGCCGACGCCATTTTGCTCTCTACTCCTAAGCTAGTCCACCAAGGAATTCAGCTTTTCTCAGTCATTTCTTTCACTGTCTTCACAATCGGGAGTAGCAGCCTGCCCCTCGGCGATATTACCTGTGTTCAATTTCAGGAGCACTTTGATAGTTGTCTCTTCTGGTGTTACTAACTGTTCCACTCTCATCTGGGAGCTCTGGTGGCGTAGTGCCTAAGGCATCTGACTACTAACCAGAAGGTTGGTGATTCAAACCCACCAGCCACTCCTAGGAAGGAATATTGGGTAATCTACTTCCGTACTGATACCACCTCAGAAACCCAAGGAGGGGTCACTATGAGTCGGATCTGACTCAATGGCAGCGAGTTTGGTTTTTTTGGTTTTCATTCTCATCTACCACAAGAGGATTATAAAAAACCACATATGTCCAAATATATAAGTCAAAGTAATGTGTTGATGTACTTTTTCTGTACATTTAAAATGAACATATTTTTCCTCCACACAATTTTTCAGGTTTTGTAAAAATGAGAATTTGATATTTTTAAAAGAAAGATCAAATATTCAGATAATCTCCTAACATGACTTCTCCACCTTGGAGAATATGTTTGTCCGTGAATTTGGAAAATTTTCATGTTGATATCCAACTTCTAATTGGGAAAATGTCCTCAGTTCTGGCATCAACAGACCATAGATCTTAAAAGAAGAATCTCACCCAAGCACTGACTCTAGCCAGCCCTCACATTGCCCTCTTCTGCAGTGCTCTGTAGAAGGCATCTTTCACTTGCACATTCCTCAGGCTGTAGATGAGGGGATTCAGCATGGGGTTCAAGAGGCTATGAAACAAAGAAAGCATTTTCTCCTGCTCCTCTCGTTGCTTGGAGTCTGGAACCATGTAAACCACCATGGCTATGCCAAAGAAGAGCCCAACCACACAGAGGTGGGAGGAGCAAGTGGAGAAGGCCTTTCTGCGGCCCTCCCCAGACTGGATCTTCAGGATGGCCCAGAGGATGCGTGCATAGGAGACCAGCATGAAGGAAAAGGGGCCAACTAAGACAAACACACTGGCAGCAAAGAGGACCACTTGGTTGATCCAGATGTTGGCACAAGCCAGCTTGAGGACAGATAGGATTTCACAGAAGAGGTGGTTCACTTCCTGTGGTCCACAGAAGGGCAGTCTTAGAAGGAGAATGGCATGTAGAGTGGCAAGGATAAACCCACATGCCCAGGAGGTGATGGACAAAACAATGCACACCCTCCAGCTCATGAAGACGGTGTAATGTAGTGGGTGGCAGATGGCCACATACCTGTCATAAGACATCACCACCAAGATCAGACACTCTGTGGCAGCAAACGCCAAATACAAAAACGCTTGCATTATGCAAGGGACAAAAGAGATGGTTCTCTTCTGGTTCACTAGATTTGCCAGCATCTTGGGGACATTGTTGGAAGCATAAGATATGTCAATGACGGCCAAGTGTGAGAGGAAGAAGTACATGGGGCTGTGCAGTCTGGGGTCCATACAGATGAGCCCCAAGATCATCCCATTTGCCAGCAGACTGAAGACGTAGACCAGGAAGAAGATGGAGAAGAGGAGAACCTCCGTCCCTCTACAGAGCTGGAATCCCACCAAGAGGAACTCTGTGACCCACGATTGGTTTCCCTCCATTGCTTAATAGCTGTCTTTCAAGGGCACAAGTGGGATAGAAAGGTCAGAGCTGGAGAGTCAATGAAAACTGGAATTATTTATTTTGAAATGAGCTCAGAGAGCGGTTACATGCTTGTCCGTACTCAATGGTTCCCTTAAGGATTTGGTTACCTTTTGTGTTTAACATTTTTAAAAATAAATTCAAAAGAAGAAAACCAAAATTAATGGAAACAATCAGTCCTAGCGACTGGTACACCATCCGATCTGCAACCTATACAACTATGAGACCAGAAGAACTAG